GTGGTGTGTGTGTGTGGGTGTGTGTGTGTGTGTGTGTGTGTGTGTGTGTGTGTGTGTGTGTGTGTAAAATAAGTGTTCTTCCAATCTCTGGCTCTGTTATAAATAAATATTGAAGCATTTCTGGGCAGTAGGTATAGCTCAGTGATAAAGTAATAACCAAGCATATGTGAGGCTCTGGGTAAACAGAGAACATTTTATATTCATATCAGAACACCATTGAAATACTACCACTGATAATCACTAATAATAATTAATATTTATTAAGAACTTAACTTCTTGATAACTTAATAACTTTCCAGGCAGTGGTGTTGCACGTCTTTAATCCCAGCACTCAGGAGGCAGAGGCAAGCAGATTTCTAAGTTCAAGGCCAGCCTGGTCTACAGAGTGAATTCCAGAACAGCCAGGGCTATATAGAGAAACCCTGTTTGGCAGGGGGTGCGGGGTGAGGAGTAGGGCAGGGGAGGGACACTTAACTTCTGTTAACCCAGGTACCTAGGTTCATAACCTCATTTTATAGAAGAGTAAATAACCACATAGCAATAGAGCTGGGATTCAAATCCTTACAATCTAGTTCCAGAGCCTTTGCCCTTTTATTTATTTAGTTTTCTTAACTTCTACCATGTAATTTAAATAGAATGTTTTAAGTTTTGTTTTAGAAAAATTATCTAGAATAGACAGGGCTGTATGTGAACAACCAAAATAATGAGTAATTATTTAGGTTTTTTTATTTTTCAATTTTTAGTTGATTTTTTTTAAATTTGAGTTTGTTGTTTGTTTTAATTTCTTTTTCATTTTGTTTGTTTATTTTTGAGATGGTCTTACTGTGTGGTCCTGATTAACATAGAACTTTCTTTGTAGTCCAGACTGGCCTTGAGCATACAGAGATCAGATGCCTGCATCTGCCTCCCCAGTGCTAGGATTAAAGGTGTGTTTCACCCTGTAAAGTTGGAACTTTGGATAAGGAAGAAAAAGATATCCTAAACTGGGTCTCATCCTATTTACTTTCCATCCTTAAGTAATGTTCCTCTTAACTTTTTCCTTACAGCATCAGCGAGAGCTTTTTAACTGTCAAAGGTGCTGCCCTTTTTCTACCACGGGGGAATGGCTCGTCTACACCAAGAATCAGCCACAGACGCAACAAGCATGCAGGTAAAACAGCACATATATGTTCTAGTTTCTTTTTTGTTGCTAGGATATGATATCTAGACAAAAAGCAATTCTTGGGAGGAAGAGTCTGTTTTAGTTCATAATTCCAGATTATAGTACATTATTTCAGGGAAGTCAAGGCAAGATTTCAAATGGTAGTCACATCACATCCACAGTCAAGAACAGAGAGAAATGAATGCATACATGCTCACTTGCTTGCTTGGTTGCTTGTGCTCAGCTCCGTTTCTCTGCTCTTATTCAGTTTAGGACCCATCCTGCCTAGAGAATGGTGCCACTCAAAGTGGGCTGAGTCTTAGCCTATCCGTTAACTTAATTGTGACAATCCCCTGGATAGATACCCTCAGACCACCTCATGTGGACAGTCCCTCATTGACTCTTTCCTGGTGACTCTAGGCTGCGTCAAGTTGACAAAGCTAACCACACAAACCTTTTACCTTAACTTTGTTGACTTGTGACCTCCAGGAGTAGAAGAAATTACAAGAAAGGAACTTGAGCATACAGATCAAAGGTGAAAGCAAGAAATACTGGATCCTATTGAGTCAATAGTTGAGCTTAGCTCTGATCAAAATAATCTCAGCTACTTTAGAGGCTGTGCTACTTCTTGTTTGAGCTTTCCTCTCGTTAGAAATGTAGCAGTTCACAGTTATAACTAGTTTCCCTAGGCCATGTTAATAACTTCCTGCCAAAACTCTCTGGCAATGGCTTTTTTTTTTTTTTTTTTTTTTTAAGTAAGGGAGAGAAAATGTGAAAATTATCTTGGGTATACTTTGGCAGTGCTTCCTCCTCAGTATCCTTCATCATAGGTGGGAGTGAGAATTTTGCCAAAAAGTGTGAATGCTCAAAGGAAAAAAGCCAAGCTAAGCTTTTTATTTCTGTTGGGTGTGGATATTTATGACAGTAAAAGGAAGACAAACTATTGTTCTAAATCCAACTCGTCTGACTAATATTTTGGGTGAATTACGCCCTGCAATGTAATAGTAAGTAGGCTTAGTTGCTTTTCAAGCTCCTGACTGACCCTGGTTGACTTTTTTTTTTTTGGATGAAATTTTCATACTCAAATATTTCTACTTGACATTGTTCACTTAGGTAAAAAGAAAAAGCAGGTTTAATACATGCTGCTAAGAATTGACTTGTGATACAGACTAGACAGATGAGGTGATATATGTAGAAATGAAGTTTATAAATGCAAACTTCACATAAACTGTCTTGGCTAAGCAGAATAGCATACATCAAGGGCTTACAGTGTCTGATGGTACATTCCTATGCATAGTTCTTGAATCTGGCTAGATTTTTTTTATTCTAGGCATTTAAAATATTCAAATACTGTTTGGCAACTTAAAAATTATATTACTAGTAAACATCTGTAAGTATACTTAAAAGGAAAATATTGAAAATTCTTTAATCAAACTTGATCTGCAGTTTAGCTACCATTGGTAAAATACATGTGAAGAGTATAAAATAAAGGAGGGACCTTAGAGGCATGTTCTGTTAGTCTCTGTAAACATGAGTTTCTCTTAGAAAATAATACCCTGCTTGCTCATAGCAAAACTTTTCACAGGTAAGAAAACTAAGCTTCTAGATATTCAGCTCAGAGAAGAGGCCTCACAGCAGAAGGAAGAGTCCTGGGTTTTATCTAACTTTGAAATAACCCAGCTGGATCTTTGCACCACCAGTGCCTTGAGGGATTTTGGCCAGCTATTTACGGTTCTCCAGAGGCTCTTGCATCCTCCAAGTTTTTTCTGGGCTTACTTCTCATGGTCTTGTAGAGGAACTTGGGTTTGTGGTGGTGTCTGCTGCTTCACTGTGCTAGGGATGGAACCCAGGGGCCTTGTTTCATGCAAGGCAAGCACTTTTCTGCTTTCGTATATCACTTAGTTGTTTGTTGTTTTGTTTTGTTTTGTTTTTTAAGCTAGAGTCACATTCTGTAACCTAGGATGGCCTCAGATTCACAGCAATCTTCCTGCCTCAGCTTCTTGTGCATTGAGATTGCAGGTGTTTGCTACCATATCTGGTATAAACTGGAGGAGGTTTTATTTTTATTTTTATTTCTTTAGGGGGAAGGGTACCTGTTTGTTTGTTTCTTTCTTTCTTTCTTTTGAGGCAAGGTTTTATGCTACCCAGGCTGGCTTCAAACTCGCCATGTAGCCAAGGCTAATCTTGAACTCTGCCTGCACCTCCCAAGTGCTGAAATTGTAGACTATTAAGAATAATGAACATGAACTCTCCTGTAAGTCCTCATCTGTACATGTATTTTCATTTCCCTTGGGTTTATACCTGGAAACTCATCCTGCTTCTTCAGGTTGTGTCTTGAAACATAGTAGAATGGATCTTCTTTTTAATTTTGAGAGTTAAAGGATTCTATCTGTTACACTGGAATTATTTCAGAAGCAAGCAGTGAGATGGAGAGGGAAGCAAAAATTATTCTTTGAAAAAAATGAGAAAAGGTTTCCAGACTTGCCAACCTTTTAAACACTCCTACTTACATTTTTTCTTTTTACCACTCACTACTTCTTGTACAGCTAATGTTATACTTAAAAGCTATGAAGTGAATGAACACAAAGAAAATTATATATGTAGGTTTCAAGGCTAGTGTGAAAACAAGCCATACTGGCATCTGTGATTATGTGATTGCAACAGACATATTAAACCTCCTTAAAATGTGCCATAGGTGTGTAGAAATAAAGCCTTGGGTTCTTAGATTATCATCATTTGTGGCAGTATGTTATCTGTCTCCTGTTAGCCAAATCCTCAGATTTCCTAGTACAGAATAGGGAAATGAAAAATCTGTCTTAAACCTATTTTTATTGAGCTCTCTTTTTTAAAGACTTAATAAATTGTGCATAGGTGTGTGTCTACATGTGGGTATGTGCACATGGTTACAGATGCTTGAGGGGGCCAGCAGCATCAAATCCCCTGAGGCTGGAGTAATAGGTAGTTGTGAGTGGTGAGACTCAGACCCAGGTCCTGTGGGAGAGAGTAGCAAGTGTTCTTAACTGCTGAGCCATCTCTGCAACCCCTCTTTTTTTTTTTAATAGAATTACTTTTAGTTATTCTTTGACAGTTTAATAATATAAACAGTCTTGATTGTATGTGTCTCCATCTGGCCTTCCTACTCCCTCAGGAACTCCCAGCTCCTCCTCCCTCCCACTTCTTGGGCACCTCTAGCACATGCCCCTCTCCCTTTTGTGACCTTTCCCTTTTTCGTTAAAAACCCACCAAGTCCAGTTAGTGCTGCCTGCTAGAATGTTTACTGATCTTGTTTGACTTGGTCTTGTGCTGGTAACCATAGATGCAGTGAGTTCCAGGGTGTGATGATGCCCGGCATTTCACATTCCTTCCTATCCTCTGGTTCTTTCATTCTTTCTTTCCTTCTGCAATTTTCCTGAACTTTTGTTGGGGCATGAGAGGTGGACAGGTGTCTGTTGAGGGATGAGCCCTCAACAGACAATCTCAGCACCTTGACAAGTTAGGAGTGTGCATTAACTGTTGACCACTGCAGAGAGAAGTTTTCCCTGGTCCAGCTTGAGGGCAGTACTAATCTATGGATATAATCATAAATATTCAAAAGGCAGCTCAACAACAACATATTGTTTAAGAAAACAATAGTAATAGGTTCTTCCCCAGAGCCTATGCCCTCCAGAACCTTGGGCTTTTGACCAGGTTTACAGTACCAGTCCTAAATTCTTTCTTGTAGAGCAACCCTCAAATCCAATCTAAAAGCAGTTGGTTACCCCATCACCTTTGTGCCGCTATTGCACCAGTGGGCACATCTTGTCTGAGAGCTCAGTATTATAACATACAGGGTTGGCTGTGTGTCTTTTCTCCCCACAGTGGCCTACATAACACCTTCTGGCACTATGAAAGTTGGTCAGTGGGGATGAGCTTTCAGGTCAGTTCCAGCTTGATTTCTCTGTGTCCTATAACCAAAGTATATTGTGTCTTCAGCAGTAGGAGCATACCATGTAGTTCTGGTAGGCAACTAAGAGCAATGACAATAGCCTGTGTTTTGATGGATGCCTGTGGAGCCTCCCTGACTAATAACCTGTAGAGAGGGAACCTATAGCTAGAACTGGTGATTTTCACTTAATAACCCATGACTTCTGTGGGAATCATTGTCCACCAATATAATATATGTGTTCAAATTCCTATTCTTTTTAAATAATATATATATACAGATATATATATATATAGATATATATATATATATATATATATTATACATACACACACACACAAGCTTACAAAGTATTATATTCCACAGGGTTTTTTTGTTTTATTATCCTTAGTCTCTTTTGTGTTTGGTTTGTTGTTGTTTGAGACAGGATCTCATCATATAGCCCTGGCTGGCCTGGAGCTCACTATGTAGACCATGCGGACCTTGAACTCAGAGATCCACCAGCCTCAGCCTCCTAGGTGCTGGGATTAAAGACATGTGCCACAATGCCTAGCATCATCCTTAGTATCTTAAATCATTTTTTTTTTCTCCTTTGAGACAGTGTTTCTCTTTGTAGCCCTGGCTGTGCTGGAGCTTGCTCTGTAGACCATGCTGGCCTTGAACTCAGATATCTGCCTGCCTCTCCCTCCTAAATGCTAGCATCTTAAATCTTACTACAAATATTTTAAGTTAGTTTTGTAAAATATGTAAAAATAAATGAGGCTTCAAATAATAGTTAGTCATGTTAAATTACCTAATATGTTCAGGAGAATAACTGTTCCTAATATGTTCTATTTACTAGGTACCCTCATTTTAATATCATCCACTAACTACTTTAAACTATTGAAAATAAAGGGAATCTTAACAGTATTTAAGTTAATGCATCTCAATATTATTATCACAGAAGAAGAAATTATATATGCCATCCAAAACTTAAGAATAATTCTTCATGTAATTCTTCAAACACTTCTTTTACTACCCTTTATGGGGCTCCACCAACAGACTGCTCATCCACTTCTACCACCATATGAAACAAAGATTGTTCTTCAAATATGCCTTCCCTAGAATAGAGGACCCAAGTTTATTCCCAGCACCCACATCAGTTGGCCCACAACAGACTCTAGCACTCTCTTCTGGCCTCATTGAGCCCCTACACTCACATATACAAATACACATGATAAAAATATGATATGGAGCTGGGTATGATGGCTTACCCCTTTCATTCCAGCACTCCAGAAGCAGGCAGATCTCTGTAAGTTGGAAGCCATACTCATCTACATACTAAGTTTCAGATCAGCCAGGGATACAGTGAGACCCAGTCCCAAACAACAATAAGATTGATGAGATGGTTGTATGGGTAAAGGTGCTTGCTGCCAAGCATAACAACGGAGTCAGTCTCTGGTACCCACGTGCTGGAAAGAGAACCAATTCCCACAAGTTGTCCTCCAGCCTCCATGAAAAGTGCCATGATGCATGAGCATGGAGGCATGCACTTACACTAAAATAAAATGTAAAAAAAAAAAAATTTAATTAACTCATTCAGTGTTCAGTAAATCATAACTTTATAAGCCACTATGGTAGAAGGAATCCTCTCTATGGATTTTTGAATGGAGACTAATCATCCTTTGCTTTGTAAATTTCACCAGGTGATCTTCAACAACATCTTCAAGCCATGTTTATATTACTACGCCCAGAAGACAACATAAGGCTGGTAAGTTAATGGCATTTCCATAATTGTCTTCCTCAGAAGGCTGCCTAAAATAGCCAATATCAAAGTCAATTTTTGTTAAAACACAGTGCCAGGAACTAGGTGGAATAGAAATGAAGAATGACCTATATCTATCCAACTGAAAATTTAATTCTTGTAAAACATAATATGAAGTGATATAAAATACTTTGATGGCTCAAGGTTGTTGTTAAGTGCTGGCTTGTAAGTTATTTATTGTCCATAACAATTGAAGTTCAGAAGAAGGAAGAAAACTTGGGAATTTGACCTGGTTGAGGAAGGTTTTATGCTAGACAGTAGAACTTGATACTATCTTAAAAGGTGATGAGATTAAGCAGACAGAATTCATCCTAAATAAGAACATAGCTTAAGCAAAAGCACATAAAGGAAGGGATGAGATATGACTGAAATAACTGGCAATTGTTACTGACCTCAGAGTCGAGAGACCAGGGCTTAGGTTCTTGCTAACATGTGATGTTGGACAGTTTACCTTAGGCTTTCTTTGCCTTTTCCCTCATTCCCTGACTAATCTCACAGTTGACAGGATAAATTGACACATTAAGAAGTATGAAATGGGGGCCAGGTATGGTAGCTGCACGCCTTTAATCCCAGCACTCAGGAGCCAGAGGCAGGTGGATCACTATGAGTTTGAGGGCAGCTTGTTATACAAATAGAGTTTCAGGACAACCAGAGCTATATAAAGAGCCCTTGTCTCTTTAGAAGTGAGGCAGGCAATAAGGATGTAACGCTGCAAGCTAGAGATCTCAAGCAGCTCACAGACTAGAGATAAATACTCTTCAGAACACACAGCTGTTTGATGTTGTTTTGTTGTTTATATTATCCGGAATTTTAAAACTAGATCACATATAAAGTTCAAATCTGGGTCTTCAGACGGTTGAACTTGTAGCAGTGCCAAGATTTTATCCTCACATGACAAAACATAACTAGATGGGCACATGGAGATCCTGCTGGGTTCCTGGTTTGCTGTAATCTGCATACACTGTTGTCTTCTGGACACTTGGAAGTCATATGTCTTTATTACATAGTGGCTTTTCTGACTGGAATAAAAATAGGAAAACCAAAATGGAATGAATCCCTAGCATAGCATAGTGGTACACACCTATTATCCAGTTCTTAAGAAGCTGAGATGAGCGCACTACTTCAAGTTCAAGGCCAGCCCGGACTAAATGGAATGATACACCATCAAGATGCTGTCTCAAAGACAAAACAACACCTAGGCATAATGGCAAACACCATCCCAGCACTTGGGAGACAAGCAATTGGATCTCTGTGAGTTCAAGTCCAGCCTGGTCCACATGATGAGTTCCAGGACAACCTAGGACTCTGTCTTGGGGTGGGGGTGGGGGATGAAAAAATGAAATAAGATGAGCATGTGGTTCTACTCATTTAGCATCCATGTGGCTTATTTCACATTTGCATTTATATTTGATTGATTATATTTATATATGATTCATTATATAAAGCCAGTCAGTCTCTCTCCCCCTTCCTGAGGCACTTGTGAAATACAAGTTTTTTGAGCCAAGAAATAACATGAGCCAGCTACAGTATCTAAGGAAGATTCTCTAGAAGCTAAAACAGAATAACAGAAGGAAGTACACTAGGCAGTTATTGAAGTTATCCAAGTATGTGGTCACCAGACCCTCTAGGTTAGAGTAGTAGCTTGGAAGTTGACTGAGCCACGGTAGCTGGCTTCTACTTTCTGTCGAAGAAGAGAGATCATGAGTAAAGTGTGAGATTGACTGTGGAAAGTTGATCAAGCTTCTGGACTCTCTGATAATCACTAATTCATCATTTACTTTTTAAATTTTAACTTTTCTCTCAAATGCTGATACTCTGCCTTGAGCACGATGGCACGTGCGTGCGTGCGTGCGTGCGTGCGTGCGTGCGTGCGTGCGTGCGTGTGTGAGCAGTAGGTTGACATTAGGTGTCTTCTCCACCACACTCTACCTAAAATAAGGTCTCTCACTGAGATTTTACCTGCTGTGCCATCTCCCCATCATTGTCTGCATTTTAGAAAGCATGTGGCGTGTGTGGTGTGTGTGTGTATATCTGTATGTATGTGTGAGGGAGTGAGTAGGGCACTCACGCCATAATGTAATGTGGGGGTCAGAGAAGACTTTCAGGAGTTGGTTTTCTCCTTACACTCTACAATCCAAGGATCAGACTCAGATCATCAGGCTTGTCTACAAACCAATTTTACCTACTGAGTTATCCTTCTGGCCATCTGCATTTTTTATGTATTTTCTCAAATGCTGCTTTTAAAAGCCAGCTGTGGGGCATGGAGATATTCTTCTGACATCAGTACTCTAAAGCCAGCTCTGGGGCATGGAGCACCATTCTTCTGACATCAGTACTCTACAGCAGTGGTTCCAAGACTTTAGAGGCGCTGCTTTTAACTACCAGTTTCTGGGCTTTGCTGGCAGAATTTGGTTGGTAGGGGAAGTAGAGATAATTTATATTTATAACAAGTTTCTAACAGAGGCTGATCACATTCTGATCATAGTCACTTATACAGACTGGATATTTGCTGGTAGCTTTTGAACATGGTGTGCTCTGGGAAAGCTAAAGCTAAAGATGTCATCCTTGGTTTTATCTTTTTCTTATTAATAACCTTCTGGAGTTTAGCTTGAACCCCTAAATATGGAATAATCTCCCACATGAAACTTGAAAGAGTGAAGGATACAGTTAGTAAGGCAGAGTTGAGAATTAAAGCCTCTTTTCCTACTAAAATATGCAGCTTCAACTTTTTAGATGTTGACAGAGTCTTTGTGTGTATTACATTTGCAGAATATATGTTCAAAAATTTTAACAAATGCCTCTGAATCATTAAAATGACAAGTCATTTTACTGTTATTCGGAATTGTTGCAAACACATAGTCATTATGTTTCAGATTATTGAGAGTCATCTGCAGGAAAATGAGTAAATGCATTGTGTGACTTTGAACAAATTAGCACTTTCTGACTGAAAGGGGCATTTGTAGAACCAAAGCAAAGGCTTTTGTTTGGAGTTAAATTTGGAATGCTAAAACCCTTATCTCAGGACTTGTACATAAGGTTAAAAGTTGGATGTCCAACTGAAAGTTCTGCTTTTTGCTCTTTCGGGTCTTGGCTCTAAGATGACCAAAAAAAGACGCAACAACGGCTGTGCTAAAAAGGGCCTTGGCCATGTGCAGCCAATTTGCTGCATGAACTGCACCCAGTGCGTGCCCAAGGACAAGGCCATTAAGAAGTTTGTCATTGGGAACATTGTAGAGGCCACTGCTGTCAGGGACACATCCGAAGCCAGCGTCTTCGACACTTACGTGCTTCCCAAACTCTATTTCAAGCTGCACTACTGTGTGAGCTGTGCTATTCATAGCAAAGTAGTCAGGAATCGATCTCAGGAAGCCCGGAAGGACCGAACATCCCCACCACGATTTAGACCTGCTGGTGCTACACCACGACCGCCACCAAAGCCCATGTAAAGAGGTGGCTTCATAAAGACAGAAGAAAAAACACCTTTAAAAAATAAAATGGGACTTTATGTAGCAAAAAAAAAAAAAAAGAAGAAGAAAGTTTTTTTGTTTTGTTTTTTTGTTTTGTTTTGTTTTTGTATTTTCAAGACAGGGTTTCGCTGTATAGCCCAGATTGTCCTGAAACTCACCCTGTAGGCCAAGCTGGCCTTGAACTCACAGGGATCTGCCTGCCTCTACCTTCTGAGTGCTGGGATTAAATGTTACTTCAGTCTTTAAAAAACTTCTAGTTGTTGAATAAGGAAATTGTTTAATAGTGCTCTTCTGAATTATCCAAGGACTACTTAAAACGCTTTTAAGCGAAATTGATGATTTTCAGAATATTTACAGCAGCTTCAATGAAGTTGGGTTTTTTTTTTTGTTGGTGCTGGTAGGTTTTTGTTGTTGTTTATTTGTTTGTTTGTTTGTTTGTTTTCTGGTTTCTCAAGACAGGGTTTCTCTGTGTAGCTTTTGAACCTGTCCTGGAACTCACTCTGTAGACCAGGCTGGCCTCGAACTCAGAGATCCACCTGCTTATGCTTCCCGAGTGCAGGGATTAAAGGCATGTGCCACCACCACCCAGCCTCGATGAAGTTTTTGCAAAACTAAAAACTTGGCCAAATAGTTTAAGAAAATTAGTTTTTTTGGTTTAAGTTTTACAGTATAATACATTTTTTCAACAATGAAAATGAGGGTTTTTTTTCCCCTAAGTATAACTGCATTGTGTGGGGTTTGGTTTTGTTTTCCAAATCAGATAATTCAAAAAGGAATGAAGATGAAGTTGCCATATCACACACTCTGAGGAAAACTATTCCTGGCTATTTGAATAAACAACTTTCCATTCTGTCTCGGTATTTGCATGGGGTGGGGGTGGGGTGGATCAGCAATTGAGTAAACTAACACAGCCCTACTTAATTTTGTTTTGTTTTTCTATAAAAGTGAGATGTATAATGTTTTTCATGGATATCTTGCCATGTCAATAAATTAATCACGAATTTGGCAGGAGGTACTGACTATGCTGGGGATCAGATATGGGGTCTTAATGTGCTTGCTAGACAAGCATCCTTCCACTGAGCCATATGTTTAGCCTTGACCATTGATTTTCAGTGATTCTACAGAATGTAATTTATAGATCTTTTTTTAACTTGGTATTCTTTTTCATCTAGACACTTCCTGAAACTCTTAAGACAGTGTTCTTTAACTCATTAATGTCATATCTACAGTCTATTTTAATCTTACCTACTGATTTTACTTTGCTCTTTTGACTAGAACTTAATACTTACATACTTTTGAAACCTTTCTGATAGATTGGGTGAGCTGCTTATCTAGATATTTCGTCTTTATAATGTGGCTTCCCTGAAGATAAATACTGCATGCAGAGGCATGGTCTAGACTCATGATGAAAATAAATTTAAAACAAAGGTGGGATGTATTCTTCAAGGAAATTGTTCTGGCTATTAGAGGATGGGAATGAGAAAAACTCTTGTGCCAAGTAGAACTTGTGAAATGCTCTACTTGGGTTCAACATCTGAATTGTTCTGAGAGCTTTAAGATGATTCTTTGAATGATCAGTTCTTGATATTATAAGCTAAATATTATAAGAGACAGGAATCGTTTGTACTGAATATCACTTAACAAAATGTCTTGGGCCAGATATCATGCTTTACAGACCCTATTTAGGAAGACTTTTTTTTCTTTCATCAGCCTTGACCTAGCCAATCAGTTATCAGTAGTTGCATAAGAACCATCAGACAGGCCAGGCGTTGGTGGCCACGCCTTTAATCCCAGCACTTAGGAGGCAGAGGCAGGCGGATCTCTGTGAGTTCAAGCCGAGCCTGGTCTCCAGAGCGAGTGCCAGGATAGGCTCCAAAGCTACACAGAGAAACCCTGTGTCAAAAAAAAAAAAAAACCCGGGGTAAAAAAAAAAAAAAAAAAAAAAAAAAAAAAACATCAGACATAGAAAGCTAAAGAGATGGAAAGGCAGGGGATCACTGGGGCTTGCTGACCATCCAGTCCAGCCAAATTGTGAGCTCAAATTGTGGTAAAAAAAAAAAGCCTGTCTCAGAAAATATGACAGAATAACTGAGAAAAACATCCAGTGTTGAGTTCTGACCCTCCCCATAAACAGTGCATACACACACACACACACACACACACACACACACACACACTATACACATATATGCTACACAACACATAACTAAAGTAAAATGATTCAATCTTTTTAATTTGTCAGCATCACAGTTCAGTTGTTCCCACCATTTGTATTTGCAGGCAAAGTTGCTTCTAACACATTATAGAAATTGAACATTTAGTTTAAAGATTGCCAAGGCATGCTCAACTTTTAAATGTGGAGTAAAATCTGAGATCTTGTTTATAAGGTTCTGGGGCTTGGGATGTGCTTACCTGGCATGTATGATGCCCCAGGTTCCAACTTCAGTACCAAATAAAACCAGGCATGATAGCTCTTGCCTGTAATCCTTGCACTGGGGAGGATCAAAAGTTCAAGGTAATTCTCTTCCCATGCTACATAGCAAGTGTAGGACCAACTACTAAGCCTAATGACCTGAGTTTGATCCCCAGACCCTGCATGGTAGAAGGAGAGAACCATCTCCTACAGGCTGTCTGTCTTCTGACCTCCATATGTGCACCATGGTACATACACATCACTCATGTGCATACACTTAATTAAATTTTTTCAAATCTGATTTTACCTGCACCACCTTGTCTGGTGAAAATAACATTTATGGGGCCAGTGAGATAATTTGATCATGAAGGTTAAGGCACTTTGCACCAAGTCTGTCAACCTGAGGTCTATTCCCAGGACCCATGTGGTGGAAAAAGAGAACTGACACAATAAGTAAATGTAATTTTAAAAATAACATGTATGTTTTGAGTGTTTCTATAAGGAAATCCAGAGCTGCCTCCCAGTCCACTTCATGTGTAGATACTGTTATCCGTAGCTTTGTGTGTTTAATGTTCTTCCCCAATCTCAGTTGACAAACTCTAGACTGTGGTTCATTTTAATGTTAGTTCCTCTTAGTGTCTCATATGTGAATTTGATTTTGAAAGTTTTTTTCATGGAACATGAGTGAACAATACAACTTGTGTATTTGGCATCAGAATGATGGCATTACATTCTGATTGTGTTGGTTCTAACAAATAAGCTTTAACATAGCCACGTCTGCTGTTTTTACTTCCCTAGCTTTTCTTAGGAATATCAGAACAGAGGCATAAAGCTAGGTTTATACTTAATTGGTGGAGTGTTTACCCAGAATCCTTGAAGCCCTGGGTACCAGGGCAGAAACAGAGCATGGTGGTGGATACCTGTAATATCCTATTCCTTGTGAGGTGGAGGCAGAAGGGCTAGTAAAGAGTTATCCTTGACTATAAGTTAGCAGCCAGCCTGGGCTGCATGAGACTGTCTTTATCTAATGTAATTAATTTGATGTTTGGGACAGTACGAATAGAGTGTACATTTCACAAGGGGAGAGAGCATGTCTCTATCTTCCACCATTGACTTCCCCAGCACTGTGGCTGTCACTGAATGTGCAGCATATGTATAGCAAATATCTCAAATAAATGGCAGCAGGAAACCATTTTGCTAATAGTTGGCTTCATATTGTAGTAGCTTGTAAAAACTTTATATATGAGATGAGTGTTCACACTCATGTTCCTCATTTCCCCCTCTTCAGTCTGTAGAACCTGTTTTGGCAATTGTTATAAATTCTGCTCAGAAAAACATATTATGGTGGGTAGTAATCACTTACCTTGTATCAAGCACTGATTCACATTCATTATTTCATAAGATTCTTTCTTTTTTAACTGGTAAAAACAAATTTTATTCAGGGCTATTGAGATAAAGTTGAGATGGCTCAGTATATAATTGGGCTTAATTATAAATCCAGCGTGGGCTGGGCAGTGGTGGCGCACACCTTTAATCCCAGTACTTGGGAGACAGAGGTAGGTGGATCTCTGTGAGTTTGAGGCCAGCCTGGTCTACAGAGCTAGTTCCAGAAAAGCTAGGGCTGTTAGACAGAGAAATCCTTTCTCAAAAAACATGCATACATAATACATACATGAATGAATGAATGAATAAATAAATAAATAAATAAATAAATAAATAAATAAATAAACAAACAAACAAACCCAGCATGGATGAGCAGAAATTCATAGCCACAGAGCGGGGTTGAGACCTGTAGATGAAGGCTGCTGAGAGGAAATATAAAAGACAAGCGAAAGACCAAGACTAGATTGACAAATCAAAGAAAACCCGTGAGTTAGGAAAATGGAGAGTTGGTAAAAATCCATGAGCTAGGCAGCAGCGCACTCACCATGCAAGCGTGAGGACATGAGTTTGGCTACCCAACACTGTAGTGATTTTTTTTGTGTGATCTAATAAAGCTTGCCTGAAGAGCAGAGAAGCAAAGCTGCCAGTCACTAGAGAGTTCTCACCTCTACCAAAGCTTAGACTGAAGGGGAGATCCACCAAACCTCAGACTGCACTGCTCTCCACTGAAACTCCAACTCCCCTCAGCTCCTGTCTCCTCCCACCTTACATTCCTCTCTAGTGCCAGGATTAAAGATGTGAGATCCCAAGTGCAGAGATCACCTTTGTGTGAGCTCTGTTTCTGTTTTAGACTGATTCACTCTCATGTAGCCTACAGTGGCCTTGAATTCACAGAAATCCAACAGCCTCTGTCTTCTGCATGCTGGAATTAAAGTTCTGTACTACCACTGCCTGGCCTCTATGGCTAACTAGTGTGGCTTCTGGGATTAAAGGGGTGGGCCACCACCGCCTGGCCTCTATGGCTAACGAGTGTGGCTGCTGGGATTAAAGGTGTGTGCCCCCACTGCCTGGCCTCTATGGCTAACTAGTGTGGCTTCTGGGATTAAAGGTGTGTGCCACCACTGCCTGGTCTCTACGGCTGTGGCTAGCTTTGCACTCTGATCTTCAGGCAAGCTTTATTTGTTAGATCATAAACAAAAATCACCACACAACACCCATGTAGTAAAAGCCACACAGTCCCAGTGCTGGCCAGCCAGTCTAGACAAAATGATGTGTCGGTTTAGTGAAGAGAACTTGTCTCGGAAAACAAAGCAAAGAGTAATTCAGCAAAGCTAGAGGAAGGTACCCAGAACTGACCTCTGGTCTCTACAGATCCATGCACGAGTGGGTGCACCACACAAATACAAATTAAACAAATACAGTTTTAAAAGTCCTGAACTATGCTAAACTATAAGGGTTAGAGGACAGAGGGGAAAATATAAAAGTAATCAGTTAGCGCCTTTGTGACGGATTAACTTAATAGATTTTTGAAACCTCGGCTGCATTCTAGAGAGCAGACCACTGGACTGTACACCATATTCTCGTTATAAATGCATTTTTCTGGACTACTCACCCCAGCCAATCAAGAAGCCATGAGCCCTTCATTCAGATTGACCTCCTGTCTCATTCCTCTGCCTGCTTCTTATTAGTTCACTCTTCCCTGTAGTCAGTGTGGACTTAGGGTAAATACTTTGTGCTTTTCCTCTCAAATTTTTCAGTATAAATGTGTGGTGGTTTGAGTAAGAATGTTTTCTATAGGCTCAGGTATTTGAACACTTGGTCCCGGTTTGTATTTTGCTTGAGAAATCAGTAGTGCCTTGCTGAAGGAAGTTCATGGGGAAGAAGCTTTGAGGGTTTGTAGCTCTGTGCTTCCTGCCTGTGGTTGGAAATATAATCTCTGAGCTTCCTGCTGTAGCCAGCTGCTGGCATGCCTCCCCATTGTGGACTCTCCTTCTGGAACCCTAAAGTCCAAATCAGCTCTTCCTTCTATGAGTTGCTTTGATCATGCTATTTGATCATAGCAACAAAAAGTAACTATTACCATATACTTTCACCCTGAGGCCCAGCAGGCATTATTTCCATCTACTACCTCACTTCCCTGCAGGTGGTTGGAAAACTCACCCATAGATAAGGTCCTTCTCTCTAATGGCTCAATAGGCCTTTTATTTCAGAGAACCCTCAGGATCAAGTTTTGGCTTAAAGTGATTTAGAGGATTTTGGTTGAACTGATAGCCCAGGGTGATCACATATCACTTGGGAGATGGTGGAGGATGAGAAACCCAGTTATGTGTCAGAAAGGATGATGTGGATTCCAGATAAACAAATTTAGTGGGGGTTCTTGCTAAAGTTTAGGACAAAGACCAAGAGCCTGATTAAAGACTGGTGAAACAAAGAATCTTTACCAGGAGAAACGATTTGGTAAGAAGATTATTACCTTATCCCCAAGCGTGTGGAGATAGATAACTACATATATATAGACTATATAAGACAGATAAATACATAACTATATATTGTTATAAAGTATCATGTATATAATTTATAATATATGAACACTATATATTTCAATAAAATACACATCTATAGCATTTTGAGCTTGACCAACTTAATGTATATTTATAGTGTCATATACTTACCCTGTATATAATTTTCATTTTATTTATTGAAAATTAATTTTTTCGGGGCTGGAGAGATGGCTCAGAGGTTAAGAGCACTGACTGCTCTTCCAGACATGGTGGCTCACGACCATCCGTTATGAGATCTGGTGCCCTCTTCTGGTGTGCAGATATGCATGGAAGCAGAATGTTGTATTCATAATAAATAAATAAAATTTAAAAAAAGAAAAAGAAAATAAATTTTTTCACACAATATATTCTGAGCACACAAGACCATATCTCTCTTCATCTCCACCCATTCAACTGCACACCTTCTTTCTCTCTTTAAAGCAAATCAGGGTTGGGTGGTGGTGGTGCACGACTTTAATCACAGCAATCAGGAGGCAGAGGCAGGTGGAGAGTTCGAGGCCAGCCTGTTCTACACAGCAAGTTCCAGGACAGGCCCCAAAGCTACAGAGAAACCCTGTCTCAAAAAGAAAGGAAGGAAATAGAAAGAAAAAACAATGAAAATGCACAAGAAACAACGATACACACACATATAAATCAATGAAAACACAAAATCAGAAACCATAATACAAGCAAAAGACTGGTAAGGTTAAATTTTAAGAAAAAAACAATTATGAGACCCCCCAAAAAAAATCTACAAAAATACCATTGAGTTCATTTTATGTTGGCCATCTACTACTGGGCATGGGGCCTCCCTTAAGTGTGGTTTTATATACCCAGTTATAAGATTCTGAAAACAACATAGGTATTACTTTATCTCACTCTCATTAATTTAGTACTATATCAAAGTTATAATTAATATATGAGTTGAATTTTGAATTTAGGTCTCCCAACTATCACCTCTTTTGCCTTGGTAGCATGCTATGAGATGCTGGTTTAAAAAAAAAAAAATGATTTAAAATGTCTCTAAATTCCTTGTTTCTTTGTTATCTGTTGACCTCAGGCTGTAAGATTGGAAAGTACATTCCAAAATCGAACACGCTATATGGTAGTGGTTTCAACTAATGGTAGACAAGACACTGAAGAAAGCATTGTCCTGGGAATGGATTTTTCTTCTAATGACAGGTATGGTACCGTAAAAAATGGAGGAGGAGCATGAAAACTACCTTCAAGTAACCTAGTATAGTTATTTAAGCTATTACAAAAATGTCTTCTGTAATTGTGCTTTTAAAATTCAAGGTAAAGTGGGACAAGAAGGTCAGAGTGGGAGGTAGCTGTGTATGGGTGTGTGTGTGTGTGTGTGTGTGTGTGTGTGTGTGTGTGTGTGATCTTTTTGAGACAGGATCTTTCTGTGTAGACCAGGCTGGCCTTGAACTCAGAATTCAGCTTGTCTCTGCCTCCTAAGTGCTGGGACTAACAGTGTGAGCCACCATGCTTGGCTTGATACATGTCTTGGTCACTGTTGTATTGATGAGAAGAGACATCATGACCACAACTCTTATAAAAAAAAAATTGAGGCTTGCTTACAGTTTCAGAGGTTTAGTCTATTATCATCATGACAGGAAGCATGGCAGCAGGAAGGCAGACATGGTGCTGAGAAGTAGCTGAGAGTTCTATATGCAGATCCATAGGCATCAGGAAAAGAGAGCCACTGGGCCTGACTTGGGCTTTTAAAGCCTTAAAGCCTACCCCTACTGATACACTTTCTCCAACAAGACCATACCCACTCCAATAACACCATACCTCCTAATCCCTCTCGAGTAATGCCACTTTCTGATGACTAAACATTCAAATATATGAGCCTATGGAGGCCATTCTTATTCAAACCACCACAATATTGACATATATGTATGAAAGTGTCACAGTGAAACCCATTATCTTTTATAGTGAGCATTTGATAAATGAAAGCTTTAAGTTAAAAAATAATTCATGACACCCTGAGGAGATGGTTCAGTTGGTAAAGTATTTGCCATGCAAGCTCAAGTACCTAAGTTCATTCCCTAGCATTGGTGGAAAATCTAGGCACAGCATCTTGTGCCCATAGTCCCAGCACTGAGGACGTGAAACAGGGTAATCCCTGGGACTTGCTGGCTGGCAGATGGCTAACCAGGGAGCCAACCTAGCCAAATCTGTGAGAAACTATGTCTCTAAGGTGAAGAGCAATTGAGTAAGATACCCAAAGTTGACCACTGACCTCCACATGCACCCCATAAACATATGAATACATGTACACACATAGACACACAAAGGCGCAAAACTAGAAAATAAGTCTTGGCCATGATCTTCAGAGACAAACACACTTGCTAAATGTCTTTGGCTATTTCTAATTTATTATTATTCCTTACCCTTCTCTCATTGCTAGGTACTAATGATAATAATTAAGCAAATGGAAATATATCTCTGGGAGGAAAGTTGCTTTTTTCCTGTTAACTCTGTTCTTTCCACAGTAATGTTCTACTTTGGTAATCCTAGGGTATGTGCCTTTCTTGGTAATGTACCAATGAACCAGTGGTCCTGGGTTCAAAACTCGTGTGTACTTTTCTTCCTATAATTAAAGATATCTCTAAAATAACCTAGATTTTTGTTGTTGTTGTTCTTGTTGTTATTGTTGTTGTTGTTATTTGGGAGGGGGTGTATATCCTTAAGGCTTGAGGCTTTGCTCTTCTGTTTTCCTACTCTTTCTGAGGAACCTTTGGGAAGACTGTGGAATGTGGCTGCTAAGCAGATCTTTACACTCTGAGATAATAAGCCTCAGGAAATCCTGCCAGATGTCTCAAACCATGACTTCCTGGTTCAGGACTAGAATGGAGCTGTGCAGTCGCTAGGGGTGTGACCCAGGCCTGGGGGAATTTGTCCACCAAAGAGGCGGGGTAGGAGAAGGTTTGTAGAGGAATTTCTAGCAAGCACAAAGCCCTTTAACCCTTTGGAGAAAGGGTTATAGATAACAGTGAGTCTGATTGTCCTGCTTTTGTAGAGGGAGACAGGGAGATCCCAGTATCACTAGAAAGTTTCCAAAACCAGCCTTTACCCTAGTTTTACATAGAAGTTGTCTTGGTTTGCCTTGTGTTACTGTGGTAAAGCACAGACTAAAATTTGGTGAGATGGCTGAGTGGGTAAATGCACTTGCTGCAAAGCCTGACAACCTGAATTCAGGTCCCTGAGACCCACATAGTGGGGAGAACCAACTCGCTCAAGTTGTCCTCTTCTAACCTCCGACATGCTACCCCATGCACACAAAATAAAACAAACAAAAACAAGATTTCAGCTTACAGGTTATAGGCCAACATCAGGGGAGTCAAGGCAGGAACCTGGAGTCAAGAACTGGAGCAGAGGCCACAGAGGAATGCTTCTTACTTGCTTACCCCCAGACTCACATTTAACTACCTTCTATAGCCCAGGCCCACATACCTAGGGATGACACTGCCCACCATCAGCTGGCATCAATTAGCAATCAAGAAAATGCCCTAGCAAGCAAGCTGACAGACCAATCCAATCAAGTAAAGTAAAATAAAAACAAGCAGACGTCAACTTGGGAAATGACTTGTGAGTTCATAAAAATCACAAGGCACAAGGCCAGATCTGTGAACTTATACACTAGTTACAGCATTTAGTTATATGCTCTCAATTTACAGAGGCTTGACGACCACTTCCTCTTGCAGCCTTAACTTCTGATATTTTCCCTAAGTAACAGGCCTTTTAGTAAGAAAATACTTGTTTTGTGACAAGTACTCCAATCAAGTGGAGTACTCCAATAGTGGCGTACTCCAATAAATTCCAGCACTCCAGAGGCAGAATCAGGAGAAATACTAAGAAGTTGAGGCTAGCCTGATTTATGTAGTAAGTTTCAGTCCATCCAGGACTATATGTAACAAGATTGTCTCGAGGAGGAGGAAGTGGGAAACTACCTGTGTTTCCATATTGGAATTTTATGACCTCTGATTTGGACTTTGGCCTGTCTGGACCTGTAGTGTCTAGTTTATTTGCCACTAGACACCTGTAGCTATTTATATAAAGACTAAAATAATGATATGTAAAAAAAAATTCTCATTCATAACTAGTCACATTTCATATACTTGGTAATCATTTGTAATTAATGGCTCCCATATGGGACAGTACATGTGTACAGAATATTTCCATTATTGCAGAAAATTCAATTAGACAAGCTTGCTGTGGTCATATTTCCTTTGCTTAGTTCCCCCTGATCCCTCCTTTGAAAACCCTATAGATGCTAGGTGTGGTAACACACGCCTTTAGTCCCAGCACTCTGGAGGCAGAGGCAGGAGGATCTCTGTGAGTTTGAGGCCAGCCTGGTCTATAGAGTGACTTCCAGGACAACCAGGGCTACAAAGAGAAACCCTGTCTCAAAAAAACAAAAACAAAAACAAAAAAAAGGAAAAGAAAGAAAACCCTGTGAACAGAAACTAGAACTGTGTGGAAACTTGAGCTGAGACTTCCCCTGGAGACTGGAGACAGTGACTCCAGATTCTGACTCCACAGCGTGAGCCATCAGATGGCTGGGCAGACACTTGCCATGGGGGCCTGGTAATTTATCCTCAGCAAATCACATCAGTTTGTTCTATTAGTCCTGCCTGGATCATACTGACAGATGTCATTGCACTGACAAAATTTTAGTCAAACCAGGACATCAAGAGCTAGAAACTAGTTTCTTTTTGGTAAGCCTAGCATAAAATCTTACATGTCTGCTATATGAGTGAACCTGTTGAACAGTAAAAGAAAGGCTTTAACTTCAGAATACTTGTGCTCAGTTACTCTCAGTTAATCTTAAAGGAATTTGTATCATTTCATATATTTAAATATGAAAATGTAGTGCTTTAAAACAGTATTAAGTCAGCCTGGCAGTGGTGGCGCCCGCCTTTAGTCCCAGCACTTGGGAGGCAGGGGCAGGTGGATCTCATGAGTTCAAGGCCAGCCTGGTCCACAGAGTGAGTCCCAGGACAGTCAAAGCTGCTAAATAGAGAAACTGTCTCGAAAAACCAAAACAAATCAAACCAAAAAGACAGTATTTAGTCAAAGTAGAAGCCAGATTGTTTAATAAATAAAAGGTAGTGATGTAGTCAATTCATTTAGCTTAAGAACTGTATTATAGTTTAAGTTACAAAGTATCCTCATAATACAGTGTAACATTGTTTTTCAAAATATACTGCATGTGCTTCAGGCTATAAAATAGCAGAGCTTTGTGGTCTGGTGATTGTTTGTGTGTTGCTCCTCAGCTTTTTTTTTTTTTTTTTTTTTTTTTTTTAAATATTTTTTTTTTTTCTCTTATGAAGCCCAGGATTTCCTTAAACTCAAAATTCTCCTGCCTCAGCCTCCTGAGTGCTGGAATTATATGTGTGTGTTGCCATATCTAACTCTGTTTTTTTGTTGTTGTTTGTTTAGTTGAGTGTGTTTGTCCCCCCCTTGATTGAACACTTATGACCTCACCCCTACCTCACCCACATCCCCCATCCACTAAAGTGCTAGATGGTACAAACCTTTAACATTTGGGATGTAGAGTAAGTGGATCTCTATGAGTTTGAGCCCAGTCTAGTCTCTGTAGAGAGTTCCAATCCAGCCAGACCTTGTCTCAAAAAAAAAAAAAGTGTATGTCCAAACACATGCATGTGCAAACACTCTATGAATGCATGCAAGTGCCCATGTAGGCCAGAAGAATGCTGAGTTACAGGTAGTTGTGAACTACCTGACATGGATGCTGGGACCTAAAGTCAGGTTCTCTGCAAGAATAACAAGCCCTGTTAACCAATGAGCGATCTCTCTTACCTATGGTTTTGGTTTGTTATTGTTGTTTTCTATTTTGATTTGATTTTAGGTGGTTGGGGTTTGGGGTTTGTTGTTATAACAAAAAAAATATTGTTTTTTTTTTAAATAGGGTATGTATCCCTGGCTAGCCCAGAACTCACAGAATAGTAGATAGAGTGTTAAGTAACAGTCTAGTTCAGTGTAGAGAACAGCCAAGCACTAAACTTAAGTCAGCAGCAATTTCAACGGTTTTCATTTAGTATTCCTGGTACTTTTAAATCATTTCTATCATGCTGCCTGCCTGACACCCCACGTCACTTTAGGATGCATTAGAACACCTACTCTTAGTTAATATTGGACTTTAATTCTATAGTGTGATGTAGTAACATGATTTCACTTGAACGATTTTAAATCTTTGACAATTCAGTAATGAGTTGATTAATTTCCATGAGTTTGTTTATTTACTAGAGATTTGTTTGCTACCTATTTAAATTTACTTCATTGTGGTCGGATATGATACATGGCACTGCTTCATTTTTTCTGAAGTTGTTAAGATTTATTTGTGTGCCAGGATGGGCTGCTGGGATTTGGTGGAACTTTCTTCTATAGTACTGTTAAGGCCTTTTGATGTGTATGTCATGCAATTCTGATGTTTCTCTGTTATTGATTGTCCAGATGGCCTGTCTACTGAAGAAACGGGTTGAAATCACCTACTCTTCATGGGTCTTTAATTCCAGTAGCATACTTTTTGTGAAATTGAATACAACAGAGTTTGGTGCACCTATGTTTTAGATTATAATGTCTCCTGATTCCTTGATTAACTGTTGAAAGAGACATCTTAAATATTTATGTTTTCTCCTTCTGTTTTGTTTTTGTTGTTGGCAGGGGAACAACAGGGTGCCACTATATAAGCCAGTGCCTCAAACACACACACACACACTGAGACTGACTGGCCTTGAGCTCATAGTCCTCCTGCCTCACCCTCCCATACACTTTGTGTCACCATGCCTAGCTTTATTTTAAATCTTCTTTTAAAGATTTGTTTTCTTTATTTTTATGTGTGTGGGTGTTTTGCCTGTATGTATGTCTGTGCATTGTGTGCATATAGTGCCCATAGAGGCCAGAAGAAGGCATTGGATCCTCTGGAATTAGAATTATAAACAGTTGTGAGCTGTTATATGGTATCTTTTTAAATTATGATATAATTATATCATCCTCCTGCCTTCCACAGAAATACATGCAGGCAGAATACACATAAAATTTAGTTTTTAGCTCCTTGCTCATCCCTCCTGCCTCTCCAAAACTGGATTCCAGGAGTATGTTTCAGTACTTAGCAAAGGAGCCAAGACGGTGCTGCAGAAACCCACAGAAACAGTTGACCTGACCTACTGAGAGCATGGAGACCCTAATCATAAAGCTGGGGAACCAGCATTGGACTGAACCAAGCCCTCTGAATGTGGGTGCCAGCTAGGAGGCCAAGACAGTCTATAGGACCTCTAAGAGTGGAGCAAGTCTTTATCCCTAGAGCACAAATGGACTCTGGGAGCCCATTCCCTATGGAGGGATATTATTGCAGCCCAGATACAGCAAGGAGGGCCTAGGCCCTCCCCCAAAACAATATGACAGACTTTGAAGGTCCCCCGTGGAGAGCCTCACTATCCCTGGGGAGGAGTTGGGGGATGGGTTGGGGGGGCGTTGGTGGGGAATATGGGAGGATGGGAGTGTGAGGGAATGGGGGATGGATATGTAAATATGAGTGCCTCTAAAATATAATTTTTTAAAAAATTTTAATTTTTAAAATCTCATTTAAACACATATATGCCCACAAGACTAAGTACTCTTTCATTTAAATTGTTTTTTTTTTATTTCTCTAACTTGATAACAATCCATGACTATTACTTCTGTACATTTTTAAATTCCTTTCCTTTTAAGACTGGGTGTCCCTAGTGCTTAGTAAATCTTAGAATTGAACAAGTCATTTATTCCAAGATCTTGAGCAACTAGCAATAGTTCTTGGCATTAGAACTCGTCCTTCAAATGATAGGTAGGATTTTAGTTGGGGGGGTGGAAGAGGAAAAAGTAGGGAGAAGGGAACTGGGATCGTCATGTAATTCAATCTTGTTTGTAATTCAAATATATAAAAAAAATAAAAAAATTTAAAAAAGAGATGGGGAACAATAGAGGATGATGTGGGAAAATAAATACAAAATATCACACACACACAAAAAAGAACTCATCCTTAAGGGCAGGTATGGTGATGCACACCTGTAATACCAGCAGCACTTGTGAGGTGAAGGTGGGAGGATCAGAAGTTCAAGACCAGCCTGTGCTTTGTTGTGAGTTTGAGGCCAACCTGAGCTATGTGAAACTTTGTTCGTGCCTCCTAACCCCCTAAAACATAAAGAGATATAATCCTTGGAATTGAGTTGGATTTTGTATCCTGAGCTGAGACCTACCAAATTCAAGTCAACAGTTATTACTTAGATATTTTTTAAGATAGTAGCTACTTATAAGACAATACAGGAGTTCAGTCAGTAAATTTTCTTTGTCAAATATATAAGGAATGACTGGGCATGTCTTTTAAAGTAATCCTGAGAACATGTATGGGATTAATAGTAATATGACAGAAGTTTCTCTGGGTTTATAACACCATTTATTGCTTGGAGGTTTATCCCTTGTGTTAAAAGTTAATAAATGATGACTACTTCCTAGAATAACAGGAATAACTTAATGATTATTTCTTGTCTTGCAGTAGCACTTGTACCATGGGCTTAGTCTTGCCTCTCTGGAGTGATACCCTAATTCATTTGGATGGTGATGGGTAAGAGCTTTCCCTTTTGCCCCCATTCTACAGAAAGCCAAGGGGTGTGGTTCCATCTTAGTCTCAGTGACTCATTCATTCAGCTGAATGGGAGGCCCAGTGTACCCAACTAAACTGACATGTCAGCAGCTCAGTGAGGCCTTTTAAACTGCCGTTTTGTCAAGAGAATAAAATACAACTTGCCAGGGTCTCTCACTCTGTTCTTCTAAGCTGACTGTGGTAGGAAGCCAGACAAAGTGGTAGTAGTTTGTTGGCTCACCCTTTAGTGTACACATGTGGGACTGCTCTTGCAGTGTTCTCCCAGAGGATGGTGTGTTCTGTTTCAAATAACCTCTGTGGCTTCTGCCAGCTGTCTGCCTGCTGTGTAACCCCTTTCCTGAGCCAGTTCCTTCCAGTCAGCCACCCCCACCTCCTGGTGTTTTTTAGAATGTGTTCCCAAGAGACTGAAATGTTTACTCCAATTTATAAAACCCAGGTCAAGTTTGCTATGAATCAAAAGACGTCCAACGAGAAATATACATCAGAACACCTTAATTTTTGCCTAGTAGATAAAATCAATTTGTTGATGCTTTTCTTTATTTAAATGTATTTTTGAGAATTTTATACATGACTACTGTATTTCTATAATTCTAACCCTCTCCCCAACTCCTGAATATTCCCTCACTCTCTTGAATTCATGATATTTCATCTTTATTTATTATTTCATATTTATGCATATTGCATATAAACACAGCTTGCTGAGTTCATTTAGTGTTGCTCATATGTGTATGTGTTTAGGGATGACCACTTGGAATTGAATTACCCAACAGGTAATCCTCGTCCCTGGAGAAGACAGATTGACCTCTCAGCTGCCACATTGGAACTTTTCAGGCACATCCTACTTCTAGTTAACTTCTAGATGACATGCTGATTATTTTCTTCTATTTAATCAGTCAGCTGGTGTAGCAAACTTGAAATACCTGACCCTTATTTATGGACTTTTGTCTGTTCTCTTTTGCTCTTAGTGGATTCAGCGTATCAACAGATAACAGAGTTCACATATTCAAACCTGTATCTGTGCAAGCAATGTGGTAAGGTGGCTTTCTATATCTATAAAACAGTGTTGTTTTTGAAAGTGGCTCTACAAAAAAGTTCTCTAATGTTATTAAAATAATGCTTTGTGAGAGAAGTAGAGTTTTGAACTGATATAATTCACTATTTATATACATACTGTGTATGTAGAGGATTTATGTATGTGTGCATAACCTTTTTGCTTGGTAATCATGACTAAAGGTGGCCTAGAAATGTGGTTTTTAAGTTGTCACAGAGGAAAGCTTTGTGCATTGGTGAACAAGTGAAATTCAGAGGTAGTATTGGGCTCTAGAAGAGATGCTAATGGGTTAGAGAGCCTGTTAGAACTGTTTGTCACACTGACCATGCCTATTGTGAGAGCCAAGTCTATACATTCTGCTACTATGCACTAGCTCTTAGTTTCCTAAGATAATCAAAGATAGCCTTGACAAAGTTACATTATAGATAGATGCATTTTCTTTTAAAGTGCTGGCAGTTGTTTGTGTGATGCAAATAAAGCCTAAAAAAAAACTATTGTTGCCGGGCATTGGTGGCGCACGCCTTTAATCCCAGCACTCGGGAGGCAGAGGCAAGCGGATCTCCGTAAGTTCCAGCCCAGCCTGGTCTCCAGAGCGAGTGCCAGGATAGGCTCCAAAGCTGCACAGAGAAACCCTGTCTCGAAGAAAAAAAAAAAAAAACTATTGTTAATAACCATCCATATGCTGACACTTTTAAATTATTCATTGCATTTTGAATGCTTTGCATGGCTTATATTTAATCAGTACTCAGGTATCACACAATAATGTTGTTAGCACCCTATTGTGGATGAAAGAACTGAGGCATTGCAAGGGTTACATAACTGGCCCAAGAGTATCTTGTTTATTTAGATAGAATAGACTCTTGTTCACTTATATAGAAAATGATCTACTATAAACAGGAAATAATGAGACTTTATTAGTCTTTAGCTTCTGGGGACTGAAATAGTTCAATCAGTAAAGTGTCATGCAAACATAAGGGTCTGAACTCAGATCCCTAACATCTATGTAAAAAGCCAGGCACAGCAATGCTCATCTGTACCCCCATGTTGCAGGGAATTAGGGAAGAAAAGGAATGGGGGACAGGCAAATCCCTGGAATTGCTAGCCTGCCATTGTAGCTGAGTCAGTGAGATCCAGGTTCAATGAGACCTTTTGACAAATAATTAGGTGGATAGCAACTGAAGAAGACATACAACATTGACCTCTGACCTACAGAGACACACATATATATGTGCACACACAAATCTGTTCACACACAAACACTCAGACCATGCACACACATAACAAATAAATAATAAATAAATTTCTGCTTCTCATTCTACTGCCTGTCCTATAGAAGTTCTCCATGAGTAGAATGGAGATAAGGCAGACAAAACAAGAAGTGAAACAAGTATGGAAAAATGTAACCCAGAATAACAGAAGTGATAGGATTTAGGTGTGTTAGGTGTGTAGAATCCTCACTGTCATGTCACTGAACAGTTAACTTCTTATGCAGTAATTAAGGTGGGACAGAGTTTTAGATGAGGTTAGACCACATTTATAGATTTAGAGCATAGTTGACAGGTGAATTCCCATGGGTACAGTAGAATGACAGTGTTTTCAGATCTATTTTGAAAAGGACAAAGCAACCCTAATTCAAGTAATAACCTCAGATCAAGAACTGTTGTTTTAAGTAAACTGACTAGTCATAGTTCTATTAACTTTTTAAAGAATATTGAATTGAAAGTCGTAGGAGAGAAATACTAGGGATGCAGATCAAAGCAGTGTTTAGGCTTGGTGTTTCCCTAGCTGTACTCTAGTGACTGAAGCAGAAAGCACTAAGTGTACTTTAGGGCATTTGCAGCAGACTATGTGAAATATGATTGTAAAGCATGAATTTCCAAATGAAGAGAGCATTCATGGAATCACTGGAGTGAAACTGAAATTCTCTGAGCAGTTGACTATTTTGAGTAATAGGAAAAATTTTAGGGACTGACAGATGGCTCAGTCAGGTAAGTGCTGTGCAAGCATGGAGACTTACTCAATATGCAATATCTACTTTAAAAAAGAAAAGAAAGAAAAGCTAAAGACAGGCAAATCTCTGAAGCTCATTATCCAACTAGCGTAGCCAAATTGATTGGCTCCAGGCTCAATGAGAAATTCTGTCTCAAAAAAAAAAAAAAAAAAATGAGGAAAGAGGTTGAGGAAGACACCCAACATTGAGTTGTTCACATGCAGGAGCATACATACACAAGCACCCACATAAATCCACACAAATGTGTGCACACATCTACCACACATATATGCTCCAGAAATAACACACATCTACCACACATATATGCTCCAGAAATAAAACAGAGATACCTTTGAAATATTTTTTGAGAGTCTACAGCTGTTTTTAATTTATTTATTATTTTTATGTGTATGTGTATTTTGTGCCTGCATAAGTTTGCTTGCACCGGCACCATGGTCCAAGGAGGCTAGAAGGATGTGTTGGAACCCACAAACTTTGTTTTGTTTGTTTTAAATATAGACCAGCACGGGAGCACACATCTTAATTCCAGTATCTAGGAGGCAAGAAGATCAGGGGTTTAGGGACAGCCTTGACTATATAACAAGTTCACAGATAGTCTGGGCTACCAGGAAACCTTGTCTTTAAAAAACATTTTTTTAATGTAGTTAAAAGTAACTCTTTCCTCTCTCTCTTTCCCTCTCTTCCCTTAGGGCAGACAGGACTTTTCTGTCTCCCTCTTCTCTTCTGTCCTCTCTCTGTCTCTGTGTCTCTTGACCTCTTTTCTCTTTCCTTCCCCTTCCCTCACCTTTCTAATAAAACTTCTCACTAATTGGTGGGTTACCTTTAACTAAATTGATGTTAAGAAAAAAAAATTATGGGGTTGGAGAGATGGCTCATCCGTTAAGAGCACTTGTTGCTCTTGAAGAGGACCCAGGTTCAATTCCCAGCAAGCACATGGTGGTTCCCACCATCTGTAATGCCAGTTGCAGGCTATCCAACTCCCTCTTCTCACCTCCCTGCATGCACAGGGTACACATTTGAACATTCAGGCAAAACACTCAACACATAAAATAAAGCGAATAAATATAATTTCTAAGAACTAATTCAAAGTCAGGCAGTGGTAGCACATTCCTTTGATCCCAGCACCCGGGAGGCAGAGGCTGGCAGATCTCTAAGTTCAAGGCCAGCCTGGTCTACAAAAGTGAGTTCCAGGACAGGCAGGACTACACAAAGAAACCCTGTCTTGAAAAACCAAAATTAGGGTGTAGTTAACGCTGAGCATTGTGGCACATAACATTTATTCTTGGGATTTAGGGAGTGGCAGGGTGGAGAAGTAGGGTAAATTCTAAATTCAAGGTCGTAATGAACTATGTAGTTAGTTCCAAATCTAGAATACATGAGAGCCTGTCTCAAAAAAAATGTAGTTGGAGAATATTGAAATCAGGTGTTGATGGAAGGCTATAAAGTAAAAGAGCAAGTACATATGCATAAGTGTATTATAAGAGCAAGTGTATTATGCATAAGTGCATAATACAGCCATACAGTTTTTATTATGGCCTTCGAATAGACCAAGGAAAGAGTAGCTCCAAACTTGAATGGTGATGCTAGGATTACATGATATTCCTGACATTTATTTTGTCTGTTTATTGTCTGTGAGTGACTCAGTTCCTCCTGCATGCTACACAAGCACCATGCAACTTGTTAGGTTTTGGTTTTTTGAGACAAGGTCTCTCTGCATAGCTCTGACTGTCCTGGAACTCACTCTGTTAACCGGACTGGCCTTGAACTCACTAGAGATCCATCCACCTGTCTCTGCCTCCCAAATGCTGAGATTAAAGGCAGGTCCCACTATGCCTGGCCAACTAGAACTTTTTTAAATGAGCATGGATCACTTTTGGTTTTTCGAGACAGGGTTTCTCTGTGTAGCTTTGGAGCCTATCCTGGCACTTGCTCTGTAGACCAGGCTGGCCTCGAACTCACAGAGATTCTCCTGCCTCTGCCTCCCAAGTGCTGGGATTAAAGGCGTGTGTCACCAACGCCCAGCGGATCGCTTTTCTTAAGGTGGAGGGGAATAAAAGGTATTCTTAACAAAATATATATAAGATCATTTGAAATGGCTTAACAGGTAAAGGCTGGTGGAAGAAAGAACTAATGCCTCTAAAATTTACCTCTGGCCCCCATATGTATGCTACTGTGGATGTGCACCTTCTCACACACAAATAAATAATTTTTTAAAATGATAGGTACTAGAATGTTGACTCAGCAGTTAAAAATACTTATTCATGCAGAGATCCCAAGTTCAATTTCCAACCCTCAAATGGTGGCTCATACTCTTCTGTAACTACAGTTCCAAGGGATCCTTCATCTTCTTCTAACCAGTTGGGTACCAGGCACACATGTGGTACACAGACATACATGCAGTCAAAACATTCATACACATAAAATATTTTAAAAACTAATAAATTTTATAAAGAAAAGTTTTCCTTCAAGGGAAAAACATTAGTTTGTAGCTAATAAGACATTATTTGAGCTCTAGCTACAATCTAGGCCTTTTTAAGCACTGGAGGTAGACCAATAAACAAAATGTAGAATGGTCCTTGAGCTTGTGTAAGTTACTTCCCAGCATTTCTTTTGTTTGTCTTTGTTTATTTTCTAGCATTTCTGGCTTTGGCTTAGGTAAATAGAAAAAAATATATAGTTTTAAGTTTTGTTTATCCTTCTTGAGTTTCTGAGCTCAGAGTCAGAAGGTTTAATTTAGTCTCAGGATAGCCAGAGCTATTCTTAGAAAGTAACTCATGTGACTGAATACATGGTTTAAAGAACTAGGAGACGTAGCAAGAACGATAAATGCCATTAGGTCAGTACTTCCTGGACAACAGAGAACATAGCCTCATGTCTTATGGTATCTGCCTGTGTGATCTTTGTGGAGCCTGTAAGGACATAGAGAATAAGCTATCATATGATTCTGTGCCAAAGGGAAACAAAATTTGAATAGTTAATTGTTGAGATTTCTGTTTGCTAATGACACAGTCACAACATGAGTGAGGCCATAGATTCCTAGACTCAGTGAACTTCCCCTCACCCAGCACCTTGCCTTGAGGATGCATCAGAAGGGAGGGAGGGAGTTCTACAGAGAATAATACTCTGTACAATTCAAAGGTTAGAGGAGTTTGAGATAAATGTGGTTTTTATCTTTTTGGTACCCCATAGTTCTCATTTCTAGGCCTATCTTTCAGGTCTGCACTACAGAGCTTGCACAAGGCTTGTGAAGTGGCCAGAATGCACAACTACTATCCAGGCAGCCTTTTCCTCACTTGGGTGAGTTATTATGAGAGCCATATCAACTCAGACCAATCCTCTGTCAATGAATGGAATGCTATGCAGGATGTGCAGTCTCATCGGCCTGACTCTCCAGCCCTCTTCACAGACATGTAAGTTGGCTTGCTGAGGATTGGGGAAGCCCTCTCTTGTGCCCCAGGCAGCATATTCCTTAGGAACTATGGTTACAATGTAGATTACACTTCTGTCATACATGTAGATCCTTCTGTTTCCTACAAAGGCCTGAGGATTTTCACTCCTGGACAGAATAGAGTGTCTACAATCAAAAATGTATTGCCATAAAAATCTAAGAGATGGCTCAGTGGTTAAGAGCATTGGCTGCTCTTCCAGAGGACCTAGGTTCAATTCCCACACCTACATGGCAGCTCACAGCTGTCTATAAATACTTTTCCAGGGGATCCAACACCTTCACACAGACATTCATGCAGGCAAATCAACAGTGCACATAAAATTTAAAAAGCCAGGCAGTGGTGCTATACACCTTTGATCCCAGCATTCAGGAGGCAGAGGCAGGTGGATCTCTGTGAGTTTGAGGCTGGTCTCGTCTACAGAGAAAATTCCAGGACAGGAACAATAGTTGATGTGTTCTCTTTTTTCATTTACTGTTGTAACCTATAGAAACTACTCTTTAAAGGGAATGGGTGGGAGAGGGCTTACCTTTAATCCCAGCACTTGGGAAGCAGAGGCAAGTAGATCTCTTCAAGACCAGCCTGGTGAGTTCTAAGCCATCCAGAGCTACATAGTGAGACCCTGTCTCAGAAAGGAACGAGGGAAGAAAGATGTTTCCAATCCATTGAAAAGAATACTGAGCTAAATTTATTTCTGTTGAGTTATGGCTTTATTTTAGTTCAAGAAGTAGTCAAAACATCATCAGTCTTTTTTTACAGAGTTGTTGGTTCCAGAGCCTTTCCAGTAGGCCTAGTCGTTTCAAGATTCCATAGTTACAAAAGGATACAAATCTATGGAAAATGATCTTCATGACTTCATATTGTGAAGCCGGTTGGTGGTTTCAAAGTGATGGATGTTTCATCTAGCTCAAAAAAGCATATCCTAAACCATGCTTAGAGAAGAGAAACTCCTTTCTAGCCAGGGATAGTAGCACACAGCACTTTCAAGACTGGGGCAGGAGGGTTTCAAGTTCTAGGCCAGGATTGACTGCAAATAGTAGGACCAACCCCATCTCAAAATAAAGAATAAATATCTTAAGATAAGTAAACTATTGTTTTTCCTTTCTAATTTTGATTTTATTTGAGATGTTGGATCTGTAACACAAAAGAAAGAATTGCTTTACATCCCTAAGCAAAAAAAAAAAAAAAAAAAAAAAAAAAAGGTAAAGATCCTGACACCTAGTAGATACTCACTGAACATTAGTTCTTAGTTTTAAGATACATTTAATAGAAATGGAATAAATGGAAACTGAATGCCCAAATATCGGACCTGATGTGCAGGCTAGTTTTATGTCACCTTGACACAAAGAGTTGTTGGAGAGGATGGAACCTCAGTTGAGAAAATGCCCTCATAAGATCAGTCTGTCGGTGAACCTATAGGGCATTTTCTTAGAGATTTTCTTAGAGATTGATGTGAGGGCCCAGCCCATTGTGTGTGGTGTGTGTGTGTGTGTGTGTGTGTGTGTGGTGGGGGTTGCTTCCTTGTACTCCTTGATGGCCTCTACATCAGCTCCTGCCTCCAGGTTCCTACTCTGTTTGGGTTCCTGTCTTGGCTTCTTTCAATGATGGACTAAGATGTGGAAGTGTAAACCAAATAAGCCCTTTTCTCTAAAACTCACTGTTAGTCATGGTGTGGTCACCACAACAACTAACTAGGACATGATTATTTATATCTGGATAAGGTGGGTTTTAGTTTTATTTTCTCTGTATTTTACGTTTTTTCCAGTGACATCATAAAGGAGAAAGTATGTTAGTATGCTAAGTGCTTTTTCTTTGCCCTTTTCCTACCCAAGCTAACTAAAAAGGCCTATAAAATAATGGTGAGAATACAGGAAAAATGTGAGCCAAAATGCATTTACAGTGTTCTCTTGTGAACAGTTTGTATTTGCAATCCAAGAAGGGCATGTACATATGTGGTGCCCCAATGTACATCTAACGTTATGCCTGCCAGGCTCAGAGACAAGGAACCTGGTTCAAGGTCACATTAACTGTAAGTAGCAGGGTTATGATTAAACCTAGGTCTGTCTGCTCCCAAATTACTCTCAGAGTCTGAAAGACCAAAAAAAAAAAAAAAAAACGCTCAACTAAGAAATGGAACCCATGCAGGCATACAGGTGCTAAAATCTGTTTTATCAATACATCTTTTCAGTAGAAGACTGTCATTACACATTTCCTCCCACACTACTGTGTCCAAGAAAAATGAAGCCTAAATAAGACTTGCACTCCTATTCAAGACAGAAATGTCTTGGCAAGAGCAGCTCAGGTATTAGCTATGTTCTGCATAGTTCATGAGAAGCTGAGTGCCTGAGCAATGTGGCACTCCGAGTGTGTGAAGATGCAGCATACAGAATTGGAGATTACAGAGGCTATTTTTGTAGCCAGTGATAAGGCTGTAAGCAGCAGGAACAGGCAGGATGCCTGAAGGCTTAGGCCATGTCTATTTCCAAATAAGGAGATGCAAAGCAGATACCTTTCTTAAGTAGGTAGGGGCAAAGATGGGACAGAAAGTATTCAAATCTTCCATAATATGAACCATGCTACTAGAGAGAAGCATCCAGTTACACTGAACTAGTGCTTTTCTTTCTTTTTTTGTTTTTCTTTTCAGTTTTTGAAGATGGGGGTTTCTTTTTGTAGCTGTGGCTGTCCTGAAACTAGCTCTGGAGACCATTCTAGCATTGAACTCACAGAGATACACCTGCCTCTGTCTCCTGAGTGCTGGGACTTAAGGCGTGCACCACTACTGCCCAGCTGAGTAAATTTGTTTTTTGTTTGTAGCCCTGGCTATCCTAGAAATCACTATATAGACTAGGCTGGCCTCTAACTCAGCATGCTAGGACTAAAAGCATGTGCCACCACACCTGGCCTTGAGTACTTTTAAAGAATCCGAAAACAACACAGTCCTGCAGATTGAGAGTTGGGCTGGACTGAGTGGTTTGATTTTCCTGCTAATGTGTATGATTATTAGCATATCTTTTAACATGTTTGTCTCCTTAACTATAGAGTTAGTATAAAAATTTCACAGAAATGAGCAAGAAGAAAAGGGCAGTGATACACCCCTTTAGTCCCAGTATAAAGCTGAAGCAGGAATATTGAAAGTTCTAGGCCAGCCTGGACTACATGGCAAGACCTTGCTCAAAAAAAAAAAGAAAAAAAAATCACAAAGCTATTCTGAGTTGTCATGAAAAGAAAAAGTGTTTCAGATGGAAGTATACCAGATAGCTGACCCCTACAACCCATTTTAGAATAAAACTTGCCTTGTTGGAAGAGGTTGGATCAGTCCTCCTATTATAGGCCCACAGCAATGAATATACAGCATAGGATAGCATTTTAAGGTCTGGTTCTATTGAGAGTCTCACCACTATTCTACCCAGATTAGTATTCTAATACTAATAGGTATTAGTATTCTAATACTAATACTAGTAGGTGATGATATACGAGCGTTCTTGATAGGGACATGAGATATACTTGATACACAGTTATCTTTGCTTCTTCTTAATTTTTGGTGGGGTGTGGGGACTCTACCTTTCCAGTCTCCCCACATGACACTATATTTAGTGGGTCATTAATAACTAGTCTTTGCTTCTTCTTAGATCAATATATTCTTAGTATATTTAAAGTCTTACACACATAGAAACTGTTCAAGTAGTTTTTACATGTTTATTATGTTCTATATGGCTTTTTTATTTTGTTTTGGTTTGGCTTTGGTTGGTTTAGTTTGGGAAGATGTTCTTGTTGCTAGTTTGGTTTTGGTTTTGTTTTAGACATTGTCTCATGTAGTACCCACATTGGCCTGAAACTCCTGTGTAGTACTTTCATTTATTATGCTTCTGCAATATAAATATGAGAGTAAGAAAAGTTGTTTGGAAACATAATCAAATGGTGAATTAATTGCTTTGATTAAATTCTTGTTTAAGAAAAATCACTACTTGTCTATCTTCAGACCAACTGAACGTGAACGAACAGAAAGGCTTATTAAAACCAAATTAAGGGAGATTATGATGCAAAAGGATTTGGAAAATATCACATCCAAAGAGGTAAGCAACATTGAGTCCTCAATGTTGGAATGCAGTGGAATAACAATAGGTTTGGAGCTAAAAATGGTATTGAAAACACAGAAGAACTTTACAGAGATTTAATATCACCTCTGTTTCAGATACGTACAGAGTTGGAAATGCAGATGGTGTGCAACTTGCGAGAATTCAAGGAATTCATAGATAATGAAATGATAGTGATCCTTGGTCAGATGGATAGTCCTACACAGATATTTGAGCATGTGTTCCTGGTAAGTTTTAAAGCCATTTTAAGTGGTATTTTGAAACCAACTTCAGACTTAAGACAATTGTTATTTTACTATATTTAAATAAAATGTAACTGGATTGAAGAGATGGCTCAGGGGTAAAGGGCACTTACTATTCTTGCAGAGGACCTGGGTTTAATTCCCACCACCCACATGGTGACTCAAAACCATACATAACTCTAGCTCCTATGTATCTGAAGCCCCCTTCTGACCTCTGCCAGCACCAGGCATCCATCTGGTTCACAGGCATACATGCAAGCCAGACACTCATATACATAAAATAAATAAATCTAAAAAAATGTTAATGTCACTGGGTGGTGATAGTACACGACTTTAATCCCAGCACTTGGGAGGCAGAAGCAGGTGGATCTCTGTGAGTTTGAGACCAGCCTGATCCACAAGAGCTAGTTCCAGGACAGCCTCCAAAGCCACAGAGAAACCCTGTCTTGAAAAAAAAAAAATTAATGTAACTGAATTAAAAGCATAGGTAATATGTACTAAAGCCTCATTGCTTTCTAATAATTTTGCTACATTATTTTACTGACACTGGTAATATTATCTGTGCTTTTTAAGGTTATTTACATGTGTTGTATGATGGGAGTGTTATGGCTTGCTGCTGCTCATTTCTTTTCAGTTCCTCTTTCAGTAGATTTTTATGTGGATTAAAACTGAGTATGGGGGTAATATTTATACCAAGGAATTTTTTTCTTTTTTTTTAAACATTTTATTTATTTATGATGTACACAACGTTCTGCTTTCATGTATATCTGCGCACCAGAAGAGGGCACCAGATCTCATAAGGGATGGTTGTGAGCCACCATGTGGTTGCTGGGAATTGAACTCAGGACCTCTGGAAGAGCAGTCAGTGCTCTTAACCTCTGAGCCATCTCTCCAGCCCCCCTATACCAAGGAATTTAATAAATAACAAATACTACAAACCAGGGCTTTCTTCCTCTAGGTTGTTAAATGTTTCATCTGTCTTTTTTTTTATAGTTCTCAGAGTCAAATATACTAGTCTGCTGTGGTTTCACACAGTATATCTAAATAGGATGGATTTCACACCTTTCTAGTCTACTGAATGTATAGAAGACCTGTTGTATTTCATCTGAGCAGATAGGACTACTTACAACAGAAAGTCTGTTGGACTTTATTTGCTTAGTTATTTTCTGGAGCCCTCCGGATCAAATCCTGATCCTTGCACATGTTAAGCACATACTCTACCATTGAACTACATCCTCAGCCCTCAACTTTTAAACATAATGAAACCATATAGAAGCATTTTGAGGCCCCCAAATTACTTTTCATGTTTACCAAAAAGTCAGTAACTAAAAATTTTTCTTCATAGTTAGAAAACATTCAGTGACCTTTAATTGCCTCAAGACACACACACACACAGAGAGAGACTAGATAACAAGCCTCTAAGGTTGAAGAATTCTAGTTTCATGTGTCCATAGTAGTAGGAGCATATCCTACTCTTCCATTGTTGGAATTCTTGTGTTGTCTGTAGAAATCTTAGGAGCCACTCACTCAGATGGTCTTTGCCAAAATTCCATGAAATATGACTGAACTTTTATGAAAGACAAAATTCTAGTAAGCAAAAAGAGCTCATGTTAGATAATGGCCAGAGCTAGCTGAAGATGGAGCCCAGGTGGTACAGTACCTATCTGACATGCATATGGTGCTGAGTTTGATCCCAGCACCATGTAAGCTGGGTGTGGTGACACTCCAGGTCTCATGACAAGGTTGTCCTCAGTTGCATATAGAGTTTGAATTCAACCTGGGAGCCATGATACCCTGGGAAGAAGGGGATCAGGAGCAAACTAGAAGTCACTTTACCATCAAGCGTTGCTTGTTTCTTTGGTACTGGAGATCAAGCATAGAGACCTGTGTAGACTAGGACTCTACCATTAAACCACATTCCCAGCCCTAAATTTGGATTTTAATACTTAAAAAAAAAAAAAAAAATGGGGAGGCGGGGGGTTGGGGGGCCTGCCCTTAAACCCCCCCACTTGGGGGGAAAAGGC